CTCAGCGGCGGCACTGCCTCCCTTCCCCCGCCCGCACCCCCTCAGCTTGGACCAGCCGCCGGCCTGCCGCAGGCCTGCCGGGCCCTGCGGGCAACTCCTGGGCGCTGCAGCGGGACAGCTCGAGGATGGGGGCATGGGGCCCAAACGGCCAGGGATGAGAAGACGGTCCTGGGGAAACTGTCTAGAGATGTGGGGGCTCACACATCGGGAAAAACAAAGCGCCAGACGTCTGGGGGACGACAGCTAACGAGGGGCAATGAGTAGGGCAATCGGGCTGCAAAAGAGTGGCCTCAAAAGGGGACCCAAAAGGCCCCCGGGCTGCCGTCCTGTCTGACGCAGGCTCTTGACAGGTTCCCTGCCTCATCACCATCGTCACCATCATCATCATCATCATCATCATCATCATCATCATCATCATCATCACCATCATCATCATCATCATCATCATCACCATCATCATCATCACCACCACCACCAGCACCATCATCATCATCATCATCACCATCATCATCATCATCATCATCATCATCATCACCATCATCATCATCCCCATCATCATCATCATCATCATCATCATCATCATCATCACCACCACCAACAACAACGACACCACCACCACAATAATCACCACCACCACAACCACTACCAACACCATCACCACCACCACCATCATAATCATCATCACCATCATCAGCATCATCATCGCCGTCGTCATCATCACCACCATCATCTGCAACAGCAGCATCAGTACTGTCACCATCACCATCATCAGCATCATCATCACCACCCACCACCACCACAACCACCATCATCATCAGCATCATCAGCATCATCATCATCATCATCATCATCATCATCATCATCGTCATTGTCATCATCATCATCATCATCGTCATCACCATCATCATCATCATCATCATCATCATAATCATCATCACCATTACAATCCTCATAATCATCACCATCATCATCACCACCACCACCATCAGCACCACCACCACAATAATCCTCACCACCACAACCCCTACCAACACCACCACCACCATCATCACCATCAGTATCATCATCATCATCATCATCATAGTCATCGCCATCATCATCATCATCAGCATCAGCATCATCATCATCATCATCATCATCATCATCATCATCATCATCATCATTAGCATCATCATCATCATAACCATCAGCATCACCATCATCAGCATCATCACAACCACCACCACCGCAATCATCATCTGATTATCAACTCCTTCGTATTCATATTAAGATTCATGTTCATCATAATCGACTTCATCGCCGTCATCATAAATATCAGTATCATCATCAGCAGCAGCATCACTCTTTTCGGCAGCAGCAGCAACAGCATCAACAACAGCAGCATCGGCAAGATCATCATCATCACCACCACCATGATCATCATCATGCTCATCATCATGCTCATCATCATCGTCATAATCATCATCGGCATCGTCAGCGCCATCGTCCTCAGCACCAGCACCGTCACCACCATCACAGTAATCAGCAGTAGCATCATCATCATCATCATCACCATGATCAGCATCATCATCAGAAGCAACATCATCCCGCTGCTTCTCCTCCTCATCATCAGCTTCAATCATCACCGTCATCAGCAAGATCAACATCATAATCAGCCTCGTCAGCAGCAGCATAATGAGTATCATCACCATCATCAGCATCATCAGAATCATTTTCATCATGATCATCACCATCACAATCACCATCACCAACCCCATCATCATCATCAGCATCATCATCAGCATCATCATAAACATCAGCATCATCATTATTAGCATCATCAACAACATCAGCATCAACATCATCATCATCATCATCGTCATCATCAGCAGCAGCATCATCATCAGCATAGGGAGCTGGCTCGAGCGTGGCCTTTGCGTTGTGCCGCCTCGTTCCCGCCCCCAGCACCCCGCAATCGTCTGCTGCCTGGTGCGATGGTGCCTACTGTTGCTGCGGGTCGTCGTGCGTGAGCACGCGGTGTGGCAACCTGCCACGCTCCCGTGGTGGACTCCGCGACGGCCGATGTCGTGGAGGCTGCAGGCGCGCGGCCCACGCCATTTGCGCTGAGCCGCTGCTCGCCAGGCCTGGCCGACGCCCGACGAACGTCGTGCAGGTCGTGGTCTCGGCGAGCCCGCACGCGCATGGCCGCACCTGGTATCCGCGGGACTGCCGCGGTAGCTGGGGGCGCGGATCGGCGTGCGCGCGAAAGTGTCGCATCCAGTTCAGGTATGTGGAGGTGCTACATATCGGCCTGCGGCACGTCTCGTTCCTCTGCGGGATGTCCTGCATGGGATGCATCCGCGTGCTGGGCGCGGGCGGCTGCGGGTCTTCTCGCACATGCTGTCGGTGTGTGCTCTTCGTGTCGCGGGGCGTCTCTGCCGTCGCAAGGAGGTGTGTGCACGTCGTCGTAGAGTTCCGCATGCATTGCGCGCGCGTGATTTAAGACGGCATCGGATTCGTACTCAAGCTGAGCAGGGGCTGCGGTAGGCTCGTCGGCGCGTGCTGGCGGGGGAGGTTCTTCGCGTATGGCGCTAATGTCTCCGTCTACGCGGGCTTCTGGAAGTCTCTGCACGTGGTCGTTGAGTTCGGCATGGAGTGCGCACGTATGCTGGTCAAGAGAATCGACGGCGTCCGCATTGTCTCGTGGGCCCCTGGAGCGAGTGAGCAGCTATCGGTGCACATGCCAGCGTGGCTCACGTACCACACCTGGCTGCTCCGCTCCATCGTGGCGCTAGGTCCCCGCTAGCCATGGTCGTCTACGTGTAGGCGTGCTCTTGGTCTTGGGCAGCGCAGCCTTCCCTAGGCGAATAGCAGCGCCTTCTTCACCGCTGCCCTCCGTCGCGGTGCTCGGAGCTCCTACGCGACGACGACCTGGAGTTGGGTGCTCTGGAGGCCGAGGCGTCCATCCAGACGTACGAGTGACGCTGGCGCAGGCGCGGGAGGCCGCGGAAGGCCTCCTGAAGTCCTGCTCCCTTCCCCAGAGGGTGGAGGTCCGGCCTCGGCATGCGTGCCAGTCTGTGCGCGCGCCCGCGGCTGTTGCTGTGTCTCCTCCTGTGATATGCGCAGTGTTTGTACGCCTCCAGCAGAATGTGTTTCCTGCCATGTCGTGCCTGGAACTGGACCATCCACGCTAGCATGCGTACTGGCCTGGTGGTACAGTCCGCCGCGGCGGCCTGCCTTCATGCCCCGGTCTGCCGCGGCGCGCCGAGGTTAGTTATAAGGCGCGCTCGAGCCCGTTCGCTATGGTCGAGCGGCATGTTGGTACACAGCGACAGTGCGTGGCGGGCAGGGGGTAAGGACAAGGGTCTCGCTCTTCCTTGCCTCTAACTGCCTCGTGACGTCCTGATTAGCACAATCCCGATCATCATCATCATCATCATCATCATCATCATCATCATCATCATCATCATCATCATCATCCTCCTCATCATCATCCTCATCATCACCACCACCACCACCACCAGCAGCAGCAACATAATCGTCATCAACAACATCAGCATCAACATTATCAGCATCAGCATCATCATCATCGTCGTCATCATCATCATCAGCATCATCAGCACCACCATCACAAAAACCATCACGTACCCCATCATCACCATCATCAGCATAATAATCATAATCATCAGATTCATCATCTCATCATCAGCAGCGGCATCAGCATCAGCATCATCATAAGCATCATGATCACTATACTCATCATCAGCATCGCCATCGTCATCAGCATCAGCATCGCCACTATCATTATCATCAGAAGCAGCAGCATCAGCATCGTTGTCAGCAGCGACAGCAATATTTCATCACCATCATCATCAGCAGTATCATCATCATCATCATCATCATCATCATCATCATCATCATCATCATCATCATCATCATCATCATCATCATTAGCATCATCATCATCATCAGCAGCATCATCGGCACCACCATCACAACCACCATCATCATCATCATCATCATCATCATCATCATCATCATCATCATCATAATCAGCATAATCAGAATCACCATGTGCATAATCATCATCTTCATCATCATCATCATCAGGAGCAGCAGCAACAGCATCAGCATCAGCATCATCATCAGAATCATCACCATATTCATCATCAGCGATATCATCGTCATCAGCATCAGCATCAGCATCATCATCAGAAGCAGCATTAGCATCGTCGGCAGCAGCAGCAGCAATATTTCAGCACCACAATCAGCATCGTAATCGTCAGCAGCAGCAGCAGCACCATCATATCATTATCATCAGCATCATCACCATCTTCAAGTCCACCGTCAGCTGCAATGTATTCGTCATCTTAGTATGCATCATCAGCCTAAACATCGTCACCCGAATCATCATCCGCAGCAACGTCAGCATCAGCGCCCTTGCCTCATCATCATCAGCATCATCATTACCACCGTCATCATCATCATCAACATCATCATCATCATCATCATCATCATCATCATCATCATCATCATCATCATCATCATCATCATCATCATCATCATTATCAGCATCATCATCATCATCAGCAGCACCATCATCACCATCAGCATCAGCATCATCAGCTGCATTATCACCACCACCACCATCATCATCATAATCAGCACTAGCATCAGCCAAATAATCATCAGCCGAATCAGCATCCGCAGCAACGTCAACATCATCATCCTCAGTATCATCACCACCATCATCATCATCATCATCAGCATCATCACCATCACCAGCATCATCACCATTACCACTGTCATCACCGTCACCGTCATCATCACATGACCGTCACCGTCACCGTCATCACCGTCACTGTCATCACCGTCACCATTACTGTCATCACTGTCATTATCAACAACATCATCGCCAATATCATCAGAATCATCATCAGCATCAGCATCAGCAGCAGCATCATCATCACAATCAGCATCATCAGGATGACCGTCATCATCATCAACAACATCAACATCGT